GCAAACTCTCAATTCTGGCCAAATGATCTAGGATGAGCTTGTCGCCAGCGTCCAGTTTGATACCAGGTTCTCGATAGATACATTCCGCATTCAAATCGGAGCAGAGTTGACACTTGGGACGAGCCCCATTGCAACGGGTCTTGCGTAGTCGACATATCTGACACTAAATCAAAGTCAAATCTGCCCCAGTCAAACCTGCCAGAGGCGCTTACAGCTATTGTTGCCCGTCTCCTGGGATATTCAGCAGCTTCTGTATTGGAGCGCTTTTTCTTGCCGATGGATGTGTCGCTAACTGCATAGTCCCCCATGGGTTCTACCGTCTCGTTTTCTGGGGGCAGATTCATTGTTCAAAGCTGAGATTGTGTCCAATCGTGTCTAACGTTGCATTCCACTCCAAACTGAGGGGTTGGCCGGCATGACGGGCATTAGACCATGCTTGAAGATGAGTAGAGCCAAAAGAGAGGGATATCCAAGGAATTATCCAGAGAATCTGGGGCATGGGCATTAATGTATAATGCAATATGGGTTTCTAATAGAAATCCATTCAAGTCTTTCATGTGTTTGTGCTTGTATAATAGTTGACCTAACTCAATACGGGGGAGAGTCCGTGGCAGGTTGAGCATACAATCCTGCAACTGTGACATTAGAAGGGAAAATTCGAGACAATCAAAGCATAAGCGAATTAGTAGATATAAATGTGTATATAGATATATATATTTATATCAGCATATGCACGAAATATAGACCATAGACAAATATAGAATTGTAGTAGATGGATTCGATGTCACATGTGGTCCACGTGCACGCGTCCCAAACAAACGCGTCGATCTTTCTTTTTTTGTAGCGCAACCCATTTTGGCTCCCATAACATACTACGTTGGTTCTCAATTTATTCAATCATGCCTCGTCCTGCCCCTAAACGAAGTCGTACAGTGGGAAAAAGCCAACCCCAAAAAACCGCGATAGAAGACTCAACGCAACAAATTGACCCCAATGTCGCCAAATCGCCTGTGCTGCCCGAGCGCGGGTCAGCCTTGGATCCGAGACAGGCGCTACGCAGTCAAACACCCTTGACCAAAAGCCATGAACAAGCAATTGAATCTTCACCCACTGGGGACCGGCCAGGCACCGGCAGTCGACCTGGAACCGGCAGTCGACCCCCTACCAGATCGCGTGGTTATTCCTCTACGCTATCATTCGCTGGACGCAAAGGCGACACAAACTCCCGAGTTCCTGGAACGCCTGGATTTGACAATTCAGTTCTAAGCAACTTCAGGCGGCGGCCACGACAGCAGAGCATTCTGCAGATGATGCAAGCCGACGATGGCTCTTCCGATCTTGATGATGATGACTTCCTTGGTGGGCTTAGCCCCAATGATGAATCAACACCACTGAATCTCTCTCGGGGAAAGTCACTACTTCTCCAGCCAACCGAAAAGTCATCCCCATCACCGTCTGAATCGCCGCTCTCTTCCGGTGGATCGCGCAAGCGCAAGCGCATGGCTCAAGATATTCAAGTACCACAGTCGCCTGTGGATAGGGTAGAAGATACTCCAACTGCGACACCGGTTCAACGCGACAACTCTCGACATGACATTAGTGACGAACTTCCTGAGGATGAGATGGTTGATCCCGACGATGAGGAAACTGAAGATCAGGAGGATGAGGTTGAAAGAGTGGAGGCTACGCCGCAGTCCCAACAATTTCCAGAGATAATGAGCCAGACTATGTTACCACCGGCCAGCAGTCCTGCTGGCTCCGCTACACCTGGTGACTCCACACCGCGACCTGTTCGGAGGAAAAAGTCCAAAGCCCCGAGTCATCTGTCGACAGCAAACCTACAGGACAAGCTTTTACCACGTCGCCGGCGCCGACTCCGCGCCATCAATGATTACAGCGACGAAAGTGATGATCAGCATGATGCTGCATCTGGTGACGAGGACGAGCTGAACTATCCATCACAAAGATCGTCCGGGCGACGGGCAGGGAAAAGCAAGCCGCGGCCATTATCTACCGCCCGCAATCCGAAGCAGAAGAAGATTAAGGGGAAGAAAAATAAGGACAAATGGTCGGATCCAAAAGAACCAGCTACATATTCACGATCTCAAGCGAGTGGTGTCAACAAAGAGAACGAAACTGTTCTGTCGTCACCGTCCTCTTCTCCATTGTCATCACCACCTGAGTCCGATGTGTCTGATTCCGAATCTACGGAAACAGAGGCCACTCGTTGTGTGAGCGATGAGTTGCGCGCAGCAGTCAAGAAGTTTGCGGAAGTGGACCAATGGGAGATGGAATTTGAAGACGTATCTGCTTCCGAGAGTTAGCCCTTGGAGAGATTGATGTTCTAATTCCTCCAAATCATACTAATCATACGAATCATACGAATCATGTGAATACTCCGAATAATATGTACGATGTTCATGGTGTGTTTTTGACGGGCATAATTTCTAAGCCCCGCAATGTAACCTCAAGTCTCCTGGGCCGATAGTCAATCTATTAAATCACAGCTCTCTCTTTCTTTCTCTTTCTCTCTTTTCTTTCTTTTCTCCCTCCAACTATTCATTCAATATGACAACTGTGGATACCATTCTCACTGCCAAGTATCCGGCTAAGGCCCATGCTCGTCGTGTCGCGGAGTCTCTTAAGGCCCGACATGGCGGGGCCGGAGTTATCTACCTCGAGGCTCAAAAAACTCGATTGATCGAGGACAGCGATGAGGATATGCCATTTAGGTAATACAACCTTTCTATAGGATCTAGACTGACACTAACTCAGTCTAGGCAACGTCGTCCTTTCTTCTATCTCAGTGGATGTCTTTTGCCCAATGCCACCGTGGTATACGATGCACTCAAAGATGAATTAACTCTGTTCATTCCACCGATCGACCCAGAGTCAGTCATTTGGTCCGGTCTTCCCCTGTCTCCCGAGGAGGCTGCCAAGCTCTACGATGTGGACCACGTTCTGTTCACAACCGATGTGAATTCGACTTTGACATCGATCGCCTCGAACCACAATGGACAAACTGCTGCTTTTGCAATCGCCGAACAGGTGTCAGAGGGCACAAGCTTCCAGGGATTTGCTGAAACAAACACTGCCAGCCTGAAGACTGCCATCGAGGAGACTCGTGTCATCAAGGATGCATACGAGGTTGCGCTTTTGCGAAAGGCAAACGATATCTCGACCAAAGCACACATCGCTGCTATCCAGGCCTCCAAGACCGCAACTAACGAGCGCGAGATCGAAGCTGCCATCATCGGCGCTTGCATTGCCAATGGATGTCGCGAGCAGTCCTACCACCCCATCGTTGCTGGAGGCGAAGGGGGTGCTACTCTTCACTATGTTAGAAACGATGTCGACCTAGTCGACCCCATCACTAAGAAGCGGAAGAATAACGTTCTCATCGATGCTGGCGGTGAATACCAGACTTATTGCGCCGATATCACACGTGTTATTCCTCTGAATGGACGATTCGCGCCTGAGACCCGTCAGATTTATGAGATTGTCCTCCAGATGCAGACAGAGTGTATTGCGATGCTCAAGGAAGGCGTGCGCTGGGATGATGTGCACGCGCTGGCACATCGCATTGCTATCCGTGGTTTGTTGAAGTTGGGTATATTGCGCGGATCCGAGGACGAATTGTTCGAGAAGCGTGTCAGCGTGGCCTTCTTCCCCCATGGCCTCGGTCACTACCTGGGAATGGACACCCATGATACCGGTGGTAACCCCAATTATGAGGACAAGGATACCATGTTCCGCTACCTGCGTGTTCGCGCCAACCTGCCTGCTGGCTCTGTGGTCACCGTTGAGCCCGGTGTAAGTACTACCCCTTGAGTATCCTCTTCTCCAACGCCCAATTCTTACTATGTCACCAGATCTATTTCTGTCGCTTCATCATCGATCCCATCTTAAAGGCGCCGGAGACCGGTAAGTACATCGATACCGAGGTCTTGGAGCGGTATTGGAGTGTGGGAGGAGTGCGCATCGAAGACAACATCCACATCACCAAGGATGGTTCTGAGAATCTGACCACGGCCCCGAAAATCATTGAGGAGGTGGAGAGCCTGGCCCTATAAAAAGCAGTCACCCTGCAGTCATTGATAAGATCTTGCCCCTGGACTGTTCAAGGACGTTCATATCAAATTACGATCAGAAGACCGTTGATCCTCGGATATGTGATTCTACAACTGGTCATAACTAGATGTCTCTTCTACGCTTGCGCGCACTTCCTTTGACCTCATCCACCGATCCATTCTTCAACTTGCGATCCAGAATGATAGTCAAAACATCAAAGGAAAATTCCGGAACTTCAATACACAGCTTCTTAAAGTCGTCTCCAACTCTCTGGCGTAACACGTGGCTTTGGTTCGCCCAGTAAGTCGCCACAGGCTTCCGAATAGTAGTGTCTGCCGTTGGTGTATGAGTGTATACGTAACGGGCATATGAAAGCTCTGCATTAGGTGAGCTCTGGACTTTATGAATCTTGCCATGGGCAATACGCTGGAGCGTTGGTAGGCCTAGCTTCTCTGCTAGGGTGTAGATGCGCGCATGGTGCAGCAACTCGTCACCACCTTTGTCTTCGGCTGTTTCCCCAGGTGTTCCCGTTTGAACCACATTGTAATCACGCGTATACTGGAACTGAAGGAAGCAACTGAAGGCATCGACGTTCTCTTCTGGCAGGTTGATGCGTCGCTATCAATCACAACCAATTAGTATAAGAAATATACGTGGTATCGGATATGAACGAATGAACTCACTGGACCCGACGCTTCAAATTTTTCAACCAACTCGGCTAGTAGTGGCGCCTCCATCAGGAGGGATTGATGAGCTGTCATAACAGTCTCATTGTCACCTTGCCCAACAATAATCTCAACGATAGGTGAAGTCAGGAAGCTAGAAGTGGTTGTGAGCAGGCGAGTAGTGATTGGGATAATGGCAGGTGAAGCCATTTTAAACAAAAAAAAAAAAAAGAATGATGTCGCAAATATTTGGGGAAAGAATGCTCACTCAAGAAAGTTGAACCCCGAGTTCTTCTTTGCCAGGGCATGTGGCTCTGGCTCTGCCTGCGCATCTGGAAGTGTCGCATCTTGTTGCGCAGGTTCAGGTTCAGCTTGGTTTGTGTCCTGTGTTCCTCCCATCTCTACCTCGGTGGAATTGTGGTTTGCAGTGGCAGTCGCATTGGGTTCGGGTTGTGTTGATTCGGGGGTTTCGCCAAGAACCTGAACTTGAGGAGTTTGTGGTGTATCCATTGTTCAATGAAGTACGGGTCAATGGATAGTATGGGATGGTAGGAAGAGAGAGGTAGAGGTAGAGGTAGAGAGAGAGAGAGAGAGACCAAACCTCCAGGGGCAGAGAGCTAAAGCGGAGAAACACAATTTCAGGTGACGCAGAAGCTTAGAGCTATATATATAACTTTATACATCGGTCTACTTTCTACCTTCTACCTTCTTCTATTTGATACTTGATACTTGACCTCGTCACTTTTATTTAATATAATTTTACTCTATATCTCTAGATATATCTCTAGATATACCAAATCCAGGAACCACAGCTCGTCATTTGCCGCATTTACCGCATTTACCGCATTTTATCTCGCCAAGGGAAAACAAAACAGACTACAGATTTCTAAAAACCCAGAGATTTGAAACAATCTACTGTGATGCACAAGTATGGAAGAATTAGAACCAACCGAGACTGAGCAAGATGATCAATACTTGCTCACCGCAGCCGATGCCGAGCTGCTACAAGAGATCCTCAAGCACAATCTCTCACATCAGTCGGGTGAAAAACGGAAATTCAGGTTTCAGGACTTGAAATTCACCCGGCAACTGAGTACCTTTCAAAATCTGGGGACTACTGCCCCACAGTTCCATGGCTTTTTCGTTCTCTTCTGGATGGGGGTGACCCTGATGTTATTCAGGCTTGCTGCCAACAATTGGAGAACATATGGCAGCATATGGGGCAAGAACGAGATTATCCGTCTCATGATGGATAAAGATGTCATGGTCCTCGGACTGACTGACTTGCTCCTTTGTTGGTCTACGGGGTTTTGTCTGATACTACAACGAGTGGTACTCAAGGGATACATTCGCTGGAACGGACTCGGTTGGCTCATTCAGAATGTTAGTCTCAAATATTTGCCTCTCCAACCCTGTTACATTGCTGACCTATGCAGATTTGGCAAACTATATACCTTGGAGCCGTTATATGGTGGGCATACCACCGTGATTGGCCGTGGACGCACACTGTCTTTATCGTATTACACTGCTTGGCTATGCTGATGAAGCAACACAGCTATGCAGCTTACAATGGCTACTGTATGTTAATTTTCGTTCGGTCATGAGCAGGAGCTAATGAGGGCAGTATCGGAAATGTATCGCAAACGAAATATGTTGAAAGCAAGTCTTCACCAAACCAAAAGCAGAGAAAGAGGACATCCTACTTCTGCCAAAATGGGGTACTCTTCTGCAGTTGATACGAAGCTCAGTGCCAAGATTACATACCTCAAGAAGAATGACTTCAGTCAGCGCTCTTCTGAACTCCGAAACTATTCTCGGTCCCATGAAACCGACCAGCTTTTATCTCTTATTGGAACGATCGAGACCGGCGTTCCACTTGACCCGAGCCAGGTGAAATCCCTCGGAGAACTCCTCAAGCAGGAGATCGAGGTCTTATCTGAGGGATTAAAGGGCCGGTGTTCACTAACCAACAATCACTATCCTCGAAACTTGACAGTAGGAAATATCTGCGACTTTATGGCATTGCCCACATTGGTCTACGAACTGGAATACCCGCGGACCAAGAAAATCGATTGGCTCTACGTCGCAGAGAAGACACTAGCCACGTTCGGCATCATTGTGGTCATGATCGCAGTCTCTCAATCGTGGATATACCCGGTGGTAATGGACACGGTGCGTATGAAAGAGGAGGGAATGACCGCGCAGCAGAGACTCCGGGAATTTCCCTGGGTTCTCGGTGACTTGCTTTTTCCGTTCATGATGGAGTATCTACTGGCGTTCTACGTGATCTGGGAATGTGTTGTAGGTCCCTGGCTGTCTGCTACCTTGATTTATTGCTAATTTCATCTAGCTCAATGCTGTAGCCGAGATCACCATGTTTGCGGATCGAGGGTTCTATTCCGACTGGTGGAACTCGGTCTCGTGGGATCAGTTCGCGCGGGATTGGAACCGTCCTGTCCATAACTTCTTGTTTCGGCATGTATACCATGGCTCTATTAGCGAATACCGTTTGTCGCGGGTATCTGCTAGTCTCATAACTTTTCTCTTATCTGCATGTGTACATGAGCTGCTCATGCTGTGCATCTTCCGGCGGCTCCGAGGTTACCTACTAATCCTTCAGATGTCTCAGCTACCGCTTGTTGCGCTAAGCCGGACTCGTCTGATGCGAGGTCGCCGTTTGTTGGGCAACATCGTCTTTTGGCTGGGCATTTTTACGGGGCCAAGTCTGTTGTGCAGCTTATACCTGATCATTTGATTTCATATGGTACCTAGATATCCATGGATAGTCACTGCTTCAATGATACCTTATGCTTGATTTGATACGGTTCGCAATGGCTCAAACACGAAACTACTTTCCATGATAAACACATGTAAAGAAATCACCCACATAGCTTATGGGGCTACAATGCGCCTATATGTTGATTTGATGCATATTGATTTGTTGTTCTACAACCGAAGGCATAAAGATGCGCGTATTTACTTTGCCGAGATGAGCACAGACCCTCATACATTACCCGCCTTATATATACTCCCGAGGTCTTCCCCTGCACACACATAACCTCTTTCTCTCTTTCTCTCTCCGTATCTACATGACATCTAATCCACCAGCTGCCTGCTGCGCCATTGGCGTTAAACACGAAGGCGAAGCCAAGGGTCAACTCCAACAAATCGGCGATGGTCCATACTTCTGATTCCCTGGAGATAGACTACAGTTTCGCTGACGGTCGTAGTCGAAGTCTATATTTCACACCCCGAGCGTTCTACCAAGCGTGCCATCCTACTACTCACCGATGTAATTGGTCACCGCTTCATTAATGCGCAGCTTATTGCAGACCAGCTAGCGGCAAATGGTTACTTGGTCGTCATGCCAGACCTATTCCACGGTGATCCGGTGCCGTTGAACAACCGCCCCGCTAGCTTCGATCTGATGAGCTGGCTAAAAGGTCCTCCGGGTCATCTGCTAGACCGTGTAGAACCTGTGGTCCAGGCGATCCTGAAGGAAATGAAGTCCAACATGAGCTGCGAGAAGGTCGGTGCTGTTGGATATTGTTTCGGGGTATGTTCATGTCCCGTATATGTTTTGCTACTGCCTGAGTTGACAGATACAGGCAAAATATGCTGTTCGACTGCTCCAGCCAGGTCTCTGCGATGTTGCCTATGTGGCACACCCCAGTTTCGTCGACGCAGAGGAATTACAAGCAATCCAAGGCCCGTTGTCCATTGCTGCGGCTGGTGAGTCATTGTATATGATCCGGCTACAGCGTCTTGACTAAATATTGATAGAAACTGACTCGATCTTCCCGGCCCCAAAGCGCCATGAATCCGAGGATATCCTCGCCAAAACTGGCCAGCCCTACCAGATCAACTTGTTCAGTGGCGTTGAGCATGGGTTTGCTGTCCGCGCAGATATCACCAAGCCAACAATCCGCTTTGCTAAGGAGTCTGCCTTTTCACAGGCAGTCGCATGGTTTGATCAGTACCTCTAATAAATCGGGGAGGCAAACATCTAGCATGGTAACAATAAAACTTTGATTGAAATCCACACTTGGTTAGATTCGCCTTGAGAAGCGGCAGATTTACATGTATTGGAGACGGAAAAAAAAAAAAAAACGTATGCAATGCCATAAAAATTGGCCAAAGTGAACTGTTGTATTTCTTTACATCTTCTCGTGGGTAGCCATAAGGGAACCTATCATTTGTTAGAAACTGCAAGTCCTCCCATACCGACGAAATTATGAACTTACCAATGAACGTAGTGACCAAACGAGACCGAACTTGACAGATATCCTCCGGAACCAACCAAATGGTGGCACCCATCTTTCTGGCGATACTGATAGAAAGCTTAGCGTTTGCATATGCCTCTTCGTCGGTCCGACCGGGTGTGACCAAATCGTAATCCACATAGCTGCTCTTCATGCCGTTGAGCACATCAAGGAGGAAGATTCCAGATCCAATAGACTTGTCTTTGAAGCTGCGTATCGTGGAAGATTTGCCGCCACTGCTAGACATGTCATTGGCCCAGCGGATCATCTCAGTGTCAGTAATTTCGCGTTTGCCCAGCCGTTGGGCCAGCGCAGAGAGTGTGTTGGTGATGTCACGGCGCATCAGCTGCCACACCAATCCGAGAGTGAGGGTTCGTTGGCCATCAGTGATATCAGCGCCCTGGACGCCGACAAGAGAGAAACCATTATATTTCCCAAGCTCAATCGCATAATTGGTATTTTCAACGGCCTTGAACCGCATCAATTCACCACCAGACGCTGGTGGCTTATTGACATGTCTCCAGTTCACGCTTCCGGGAATGACCTTGTCGTATGCCTGCAACAAAATAAAGCCATCGCGTAGGTCATCGAAGAGCGAGTTGACTGCAGGTTGAACATCCAACGAATTCAACCATAGAGTGAAGACTCTGGCCTCTCGCTCACCCTCAGCGTCAAAGTCTTCAACTTCGAGCTTCTCTTCCTCCGTGATCGGGTCCAGTCCTGGGTGGGTATTGAACAGGTTGGCGACAAAGGCAAGGTTCAGCTTGGGGTTTCCGGCAACCAATGAGGTCGGGGTCAGGAACTTGCGGCAATCCAGCGAATCGGCATTCTGGAGGACCTGCTCAGCCCGCTCAAGCAAGTCTCGAGTTTGGAGAGGGGCACGCGAGCAAGCATCGGGTGCCAATTGGTTAAGTAGAACGGTATAGTTCTCGCCATCCTTGACATCGGTAGAGAAGTTCGTCACCCTACATCGGTTAGCCACATGTCTTTCTTGAGTTGTTCTCGTTCGGGGTGGGCATACCGTCTGTCCCACTTGGCATTCTTGAGATGATAGTTGAACCAACGAAGGAGAATCTGCTCTGGAGGCAAGCGCAAGAACTGCTCCAGAGTTTCATCTTCGTCCAAAAGCCTATAAAGCTCCGGGTGGAGTTTAATATCAATCTTTCCAAGAAGACCACGGCGGATGATTTGCCAGATGAGACCTAGGATGAGATGCTCTCGCACTTCAATGATATCCCCGCTTCCGATGTTAACAACCGAGCATCCGATACCCTTCGCAGAGTTGATAACAATGTTATTGTTCTCGGTCATGTGGAAAGCATTCAGCTGCTTGATCTTCTTCCCAGCCTTGTTCAAAACACGCTCATCAATGGTGTCTGGTACGCTGTCGTTGATCAACTTTGCCAGGACCAAGCCATCCTTGCACTTATCAAACATCTCGAATGTGTCGGTGGGGAAAGGTAGGAGGTTGCCAACATCCGCATCGCCCGCTAGTACGGCGTTGATGTGTCGCGTGAACTCGGTTCGTTCGTCTTCGTTGATCGTATGCGTGACGTTGGAAGATGATCCCTGGACATGGATTCGTCCACCCACACTGCCCTTGGAGACATGCCGAGATGCTCCGGTACCAGCGCCGGCTCCTTGAATCACGGCCGCAGGGGTAGTTGGTGCGCGGGCACCTTCAGAGGGTGCTGTTCGAAGCTTCGAAACGAGCTGCCGTGGCGTTGATATCAGCGGGGTGAGAAAGGGAAGTGGGGAAGTTTTATTACATCAACATAATCTTCGAGTTCCACGCGTCGAGAGCTATCGAGTTCCACATCCTTCAATGCTGCGCGCACTACATCATACGGCTGGCGTTCTGATTGTTGAGCGGCTTTGATCGCGGTAGATTCATCAAGATATCCACGGTCTTCGACGTCCAATCTGTTGAATGCATCCTGGAGCGAAAAGATCTCGCCTTGATCAAGCTGCGGAAAACGCCTATAGTAATCACAATGGTCAGCATGTGGTTGTATTAAATGATGAGGAAATGTACTTCTGAAGCTTGAGGGCGTTCATCTTGTCAGAATCACAACCCTGGGGCAAAATAGGTGGGGTGGTCACCCAGGGAAAGACCGGGTTTCAACAAAAAAAAAGAGGAAGGGTTGTTTACACCCTGAACAGATCAATTGTGAAGAGTCAAAGTGAATGATCAGAAGAAATCCGATCCGTGCTAAAGGTGGGCAGTGCAGGGAGGCAGCCAGGTATACACGAACCGAGGGGGGGGGGGGGGGGGGGGGGGGATGAGCCACACCGTAATGAAAGTACTTGGTTAACGATACAGAGTACATCACGCCAGGGGTATTTTTGTATGGGAATGTAAGATGTAAGTATCAAGTCAGTAACGCCGTGTTTTCGTATTATCGTATTCGGGAAGTTCTTCGCTTCGAATGACGTCGACACCTTACCTAACATAGTATATAGTTAAACGTATTTCACTCCCGAGCCGCCCACCCTAAAAACACATCGTAGATGCGATATTCTATAACCCTATATCTTAACAACCGCGTTTTTTAATTGATTCCATTACATATCGATAGCTATTGATAAGAATTTTAAATACTATATAAACTGCCGTTGTTGAGAAATCAAGCTGTAATTTATCGCATTTACAATGTGTTTTTGGCGTGGGCGGCTCGGTGGTGAAATACGTTATGTAGTTACCTAGGTAGTAACTTGTGTATTTTATTAGTATATATATAAGTATCCTATCTGCTTAATCCGCTTATTTTTCCTCCATACTTCGAAATTATGGCAAGCATATATATAGGCTGAAATTAAGAATTTGACACAGTTCATGTTTTATAACCCCTAACTCTATAGAATATGCAGTGAAACATGAATATTGGCATTGCAACTTTATATAAAAATATATAAAAGAACAAACATACATTTACTATATATATATGTTGATATGTCCAAGGGTATACCGGGTATAACGTTGTACAACGTAATTGCATAGTTATCTAAAATCGGGATTACATCATTTGCAACTCCAACATCTCTTATCGGCTTTTTGACACCTTTTGAACACGTCTCTATGCCTTGTTTCTCTTACTCTTTTTAAGTTTATCTTGTTCGTCTTTATCACCCTCACTTCCACCATTCCTCAACCCAGCTGCTCACGTTGGTTCGTTTCGCTGCCTTCCGGCGGGCGCTTGTCCCCATGGCGGGTGCAGAGCAAAAGTCGTTCTTAGGGACACTCACTCCATGGAGTACACCAAGAAGCGCAACCCCAACACCGCAGCCTGGTGATCACCAAAAACCAGATGTCCTGCAGCGATCGCAAGGGGAGGACCACACGGTGACTCACATGCATCGATTAAGCTTGCGACGCTATCCTCCCGATTGTCCTCCAATGAAAGTCAGGTGGTTCTACGCAGTGGACTCACCCAAGCGAAAACCATCCATCATAGGACAGAAAAAGGCAGACCAAAAGCCCTTGCCATCGCCGAAGAAATTCATCCCTTTCCCAGGGAGAGACTCGCAGTCCATCGAAACAACCTTTCAGAAACTCTCAGACATAGAAGATGCCCGCCAACCAAACCAGCCCTGCGACAGCGAACCGGTATTGACCAAAGTGCCTGTGAATGAGGATTTTCTTTTCAATGTTGACGTGAAACAACGAGAGTTGAGTCCTACCTACTGGATTGGCCCTGTATACGAAGTCCGTCGTGGAACGTGGTTCATTCAGGATGGATCTGGCCTAAAACCATGTGAAGAAAATCTCGCTACCCAGCTCGAAGAAGGCTATATCAAATTGTGCCCATGGAGGTCTCAGTCATTAGAACAGAATTCACAAACAAACGAAGAAGATAGACCTGGTCAGATCAAAAGCGTGCCAATCAACACCTATGAGCCAGATCCCAGACCCCCTCAATCAACCAACCCGAACTCTCCTCCCCGAGGCCCAGGGAATGATTTCAACACTACCGGTCCTGCGGTGGAGCCCCAGCAGTATCGTCTTTTCGGCGCTTACATGAATAGGATAGTCGGTTATCAAGATTCCACGACTGCCTGGCTGATGAATGATGATTTCATGTCACGTTTCAGTACTTCAGTGTATCAAAAGCTAGGGGGTGTTCCGGGGACGAAGTTGGTTCGCGGTTTCGAGCCTAGGAAGCCAAAAGAGACACCAGAAGCAAAGGGTCCGAAACAAAAACCACAGGGCGAGTCAGCTGCCAGAGGCTTGAACGACGTCTTGAAAGAAAAGACCGAAAAAGCCACGGATACCCTCAAGTCAACCTCTACTGACAAATTCGAGAACTACGAAAATAGACCAAAATCAACATTAGAACGCCAAATGTCCTCCCTTGCAGGCGAGCCGCAAAATCCAGCTGACCTCGAAGAACAGGCTCGTAGGCAGGAGGAACAGGAGATGGAAGAGTCGAGGGAAGTGGACAGCGCGGACAGAGAGCGCGAGGTTGATCATCTAGTTCTTGTCACCCATGGAATTGGCCAGCGACTCGGCTTACGACTGGAAAGCATCAATTTCATACACGATGTAAATGTGCTGCGCAAGACGCTGAAAACTGTCTACAAAGGTTCGCCTGACCTTCAAGCGTTGAACTCAGCGCTCCCAGACGGCGATAAGAATTGCCGCGTTCAAGTGCTTCCTGTGTAAGATGCGCCCCTTTACTCGGCATTGATTTTTGCTAATTTAAGCAGGTGCTGGCGCCACCTTCTGGACTTTCCTTACCGAGGAGTTCG